GCCATCCTCTAGGAATGGGCAGGTAGCCGTGCCCCTGCCAGCATCACGTACCTATGGCGCAGCCTCATCATCTGCCTTCCCACCTCACCCCCACAGCCTGCAGGGCAAGGGGTGGAGCCCTGCCTTCCCCAAGCCAAGCCTAAGGAGGTCAGGGTCCTATCTCGATCCACACTGAGGCCCTATGGCTGAGGAAGGGCAGGAGTGTAGGAGGGAGAGATGGACTGAGGGCTTACACAGGGGTGGGAGGCTGGGTAGCCACAGGGAGGGAACAAATGGAACAGGAAGGTGGATTGTGGAACTATTCCACTTAATCCTCAGCAAGTGGCATTTCATTTATGCAAATGAAGGATCAGAAGCCTGGAGGAGGTGAAGTGGGCATTTTATCCAGCTGGCAGGCAGCAAAATGGGGTTTGCCACCCAGTCTGTTCAGATCAGCGCTCCTCTCAACTGGGGGAAATTGCAGGCCCCAAGTGACATTTCACAGTGTATGTAGACCTTTTTGGATAATCACAACTACGAAAGGAGCTTCTGATGACATCTAGTGGATAGAGGCCTGCTGACTCTCCTGGTGTCTCTTAGGACGCTGGGCACAACACCCCTAGCAAAGAATCACCTGATGCAAATGCCAACGGTGCAGGCCCTGAGCAGTTCCACTTGAGACATCTGCCTGCATCCCAAGAGAGTTCTTCACTCCAGCTCCTTTTGGGGTTCTCCATGGCTTACCTATGGGATGGGGGAGCCACTACCCCAGAGCCTGCAAGAAGCCCCACTCTGCTGCAGCCCAGGTTAATACCAGGACCATAGCTCAAGCTACATATCCTGTATGGAAGCTCATGAACTTCCCATGTGACACTTCTAGGTTTGCCCCTCATGAGGAGGAGATCTGATCCAAGGAGCGGACGCTTCCCAGCCCTGCTGCCTGCCCTCACATCCCTGCGGCCCTACGTGCCACTCTGGCAGTGTCCAGCTTAGGTTAGTTTCCAGGCTCAGTCACAAGATGGCAGCACAGCCCACAGGGAATGTGGAGGCTCTGGGCCTGGCCAGCAGCCGGATGGTGTGCCAACCTGGACTGAGGCCCAGAGGCTGGACTTGGGCCACTTCCAGAGCCCAGCGGGACCAGACCTAAGGCTTGCAAGTGCCAGGTGTGAGAACATAGGCCCAACTTGGCTTCAGAGCTTTTTTCCTGTTTTTGCTGCCTAACCCAGCTCATCTGCTAGCCATTCTCACGCAGTTTCCCGGACCCCGTTCTCCCTTTCTCTCATCCTGAGCAAGAGTCCAGATCTAAGGAGTTAAAGGTAGAGGGACAATTTTTACTTCCATTCAATGATAAAGAAACTAAGCCCAGAGAAACTAAGTAACCTATCCATGAGAGACCAGGGATTTGGACACAGGCAAGCTGGTTTTAGCCGTTGATCTTAACCACTGAACAGCACTGCCCCTGCCTGCTACCGCCAGCCACTACCACCAAAGCTCCCCTGGCATGGGGCCAAAGGCCTTCCTCTGCAGGGGAGAGGGCACATGGCTGTGCAGAAGGCTGGGGCTGCTCAGAAGTGGAGGGGGGAAGGCTTTCAGATGGGCTGAGGGTCTGTGGTTGGTGTCTGTGGGTAAGAAGCCAGGGCTTGCTCAGTAATTCCTCCTCCAGTCCTGCCTCTCTGTTTCTAATGGAACCACCCGAACCCCCGTTCTGTGTTGGTCTTAGGTTTTTTCTGGGCTTTCTGCAAATGCCAGCCTTCTCACAGTGTGAAGGGGAAGTGACAGAAGGGACTTTTATGTCCTGCTTAGGATAGAGAAGGGAGGGGCATTCCTTGGGGCCTGGGCTGGGTGGTGTCATCAGGGATCTAAGTGAGAATCCTAAAGGGGAACAGTGGGGGTCACCTTGGGACATTTTTCTGTCTCACTGGGGAGGCTCCTCCACCTTTCTTCTCTGCTCTCCCTCTCTAAAGGGCTGATGGCTACCTTCCCCCTTTCCAACCTGGGGTGACTCTTCCTCTAGCACACCCTCCAAGACCAGGCCTAATCAAAGCTCCCAGTGACCCAGCCTGTCCCCCTGTAGAAGCCTTTTATCTCCACAGGTCCCCCTGTGGTTTCCTCCATTAGGACTCAACCTGGGGGCAGTTCCCTAGTGGAGCTCCATGCTGACCCCTGTGAGAACCTCAACTCTGCCTTTGTTAGGGCGCACTGACCTCCACAGTCCGCAGCACTGGAATTCCAGAATTCCAGCTCCTTTCCTAGCCCTTTTAAAACCATCTAGACCTTGGGGGTGGAGAAGCAAACCAGAAGCTCAGCTTGGGGTAAGGGTCCTTTTTATAGAAATGAGATGAGCTTTGATAGGAAAGAGGGGGCATCCTGGGGCCCTGGGGCTGCCACTGTAGAAGGCTTCCTGGAGAAGAGGGGCAGCACATCTGGCAGGAGGGAAGGGAAGGTCTGGAGAGGCCTCTCCCTTGGCTCCCTATCTTGATTGCTCCCAGCTGGAGTGGGCAGTGCCCATCTCTCTGTGTCCATCTCTTTCCTTCACTCCTTGGGTCTCTATTTTTCTGTTTGTCATCTCCTGGGGGTAGGGTGGAGCTTTCTGAGAGCCAGAGTCCTGGAGATCTGACTAGAAGCCAGGTTGAGCTGCATCAGGCTGTGCCACCTCATGCATGGGTGTCGGTGGGCCTTTCGCTGGTCGGGGTTCCAAGGACACTGACACACACTCATCTGTGCCTTACTCTGGGTCTGAAGGTGAAATAGCTTCAATTCAGAGGAATAATGCCAACCCATCACTGCAGGAGAAGGTGCCATCTCGACCCTAGACTCCAGCCCTCTCTTTGTCTCTGTCTATTTCTGCCCATTTCTGGCTTAACTGTGCCACACTCCCTGCTTGGCTTTCACCCATCCCTTGATCCTGGTCCTGCCTTGGTCCTTCTATGCCCACCCCCAGCCTTTCCAGACCACACACTGGTTCTGCTATGGCTGGACTGGGATTTCCCTGCCCAAGAGAAAAAGAGATGTCTATGGCACAGCTTTTTCCCCAGGCCCCTGGCAGTGTTTGTGGGTCAGCATAGACCTAGGGACAGCTGTCTGCACAGTTAGCAAGTGCCAACAGGTAAATAAGAGCCTCATATTTTCTTAATTAAATCATCCTTTGACTAGGCATCCTGTGTTCGATTGGGCTGGGATCAATAAGCATCTTTTCCAGCCCAGCTGCCCCTGGAGCTAGGCCTGACCTCTCCAGTCCTGCTCAGCACCACCTGCCCACTTCCCCCAAAAGACTGGCAGCCTGTCCGTGGCAGAGACTGGGTCTGATTCGTCTTTAGTGCCCTTGTACCTGGGACAGAGCGTGGAGCAAGAAAGGATTATAAGCGTGATTGCTCAACTAAGTAAACTGAGGCAGTGGCTGAGAAAGCACGGATCAGGAAGGCTTTGAGGTGGGAACTAGAAAGCCCATCCCCAAGACCAGCCATGAGGCTGTAGGAGGCACAGCAAGCAACTGCCAGGGAGGGGTTCGTCAAGGTCAGCGAGCCTGGGAGCAGGTGCTCCTCATTTCTTAAGGGATCTCCACTTAGGGACCGAAGGTTAGGGTAGGACAATCGGTGAGCTGGATCCAGTGGCAGAGTCCTGCTGCACTCCTAGGACACCAGGTCACTAGTCTGGAGTTACCAAGGGGGCAGGAGCGAAAGGAGTTAATAGGGGCCCAGGGTTTGTCGTTAATGGGGCTAGGACAGGTGTGAAGGGTGTTATTTTTGGAGTCCATGCAAGAGGGTACCTCTGGGAGAACCAAGGGTACTCCGGGTTCCGTGGCCAGGTCGGCCTGAAAGGGTTCCTCGGAGCGGTCAGTACTAGTCCAGGTCAAGGCGACGACGGGAATATTCCGTCTCCCCAGGGGTTCCAATGCTCCCGGGTTTGGAAGGAGAGGGGCGTGTGCGACGCCCTTCTCACCTCGGTGTGACCGGGGGCGCGGGCTCAGACGTCTCTCGGAGCCCCCGCCTGCGGAGTGGCGCTCCCGCAGGGCGGAGCGTCGGCGGGTCCCCGGGGAGCCGCAAGAGCAGGCGGGGCGGGCGCCCCCAGCGCCGGGGTGGAGGGAGGCCGGGTTCGGCGCCGGGCAGCGAGGGGGGCGCGGAAGCAGGGCTTTTTAGGACCCAGCGAGGCGCCTCCCTCCGGGGGCGAGTGCGGCTGCGCGCGCCGTGTGCCCGTGTCCGGAGAGCGGCGGGCTGGACGCGGACCTCGCGGGCGAGGAGCTAGCAGCGGGGACAGCAGCCCGGGCCGCAGCAGCGTTGCGGGGCAGCCGCCCAGCGCCTCGCCTCCCCGGCGTC